ACAACAGAGATCAAAATACATCTATCTTGCAATCACAGCACAGCCGCGTAAGCGGATTGTGACACCTTTGTTATAAAGTCCACAAAGCACGTATAAGGAAAGGTTTGCAATTACATCGTATGACACATACGTAATATCTAATTCAAAATAACTTACAAATGTTTTATTATGAGTACACTTAAAATTATTTGAAAATTACAGTATCAAACACTTTTTAATGTACGTAGTTAAGATCGTTACATGACATTGTTATAATACATTTACATACATTATCGAATATTTATTATTTGTAAAAGTCGAATACTCAATATTACTTTTTTTTTTTAATTTTAGATTTCAAGATTCTTGATCTTAATTGAATACTGAGTTTAAAATATAAAGTTAAGTTTAATAAAAATAATTTAGAAGTTATAACAAAATATTTGTTTAACATTTGAAGACAATTTTTTTTTTTAAGTAAATATGTATTAACGTAAACTTAGGTTTGACTGTCTATATAGAGAAAAAAAAATATTATTACATTATCAAACTTATAATAATAGAGTATCGATACGCTTTGGATTTGATTTTAGTAAGCAATATACCAAATTTTGTTTAAAATTGTACAAATTGTTCATAAACAACAAAAATAATATAACACGAGAAGTTTAAGGTAGAGTTATTGTAACTATGAGTCAATGTGCATAAATAAAAAAATCGTAAATTAATGTAAATCTACGCGAAAATGTATTTATCAAATTTAATTGGTTTTTTTTTGTGTGGTTGTGTGGATCGTTCCTATAGTTACTAGATGTGTAGCTTCTAAGTAGCCTTTTGAGTAGGATTGTAGGTAATAATATAGAAATGCGAAATAACTACATAATATCTAACTTTTTAGATTTGTTCGAGGGATCCCTTTATTACCTCATTTTAATTGTTCTCATGTCTTTGCGTGTTATATATTTTCATAAATACTAACACTACTCTCATATCCTTTGTTTTCGATTGTCAGGCCTTTTTTTCATAATTTTTGTACGTACTTTCTTTTATCTCTTATTTTTTTTTGACCTTCAGCTAGCTTTATATATTTATTTATTTATTAGATACCAGGAATCGGAGTATTAATTCACTTCATTTATATTTTATTTCATGATTTATATCACGCGGGTACTTTATAAATATGGGCCCCCCATTTACTTGGGTATTATATTTTCATTACATTCATTTTATTTTATTGGTACATATTTTTTTTTCATATTATATCAAGGTAAAACTGTACCTTGGGTTGTGCGCACAACCTTGAGGTCAACGTTTAAGTCATTTTAAAAGACTCCAACAATTGTCACGGAGGAAAACTAAGTTCACACTATGATCCAATGAAGGATATGACCTCTATGTACCATTATTAAGGGTAACAAATTTAAGACTTCTCTGGTCGCCAACAGTACTAATATGAGTAGACTCGTTCACATCTCATTTGTACTGAAGGTATTGTTCCCTAGTACCCGTTACTCCCGATTTTATCATCCGATCATGGAAACATACCCTGCTCGAGGACTATATGCTTTACCAGTGATGGACGTTCCCGTATCTCTCCATTACTTATTTTATGCAGGTCAACTTTCGTTTTATTTCTATTTATTTCTTTACTTTATGGTACTTACCAATACCTCATTATTTAATAGTACCCAAGATTATCGACAATATTTCTATACAATTCATAATAAATTCTCATTTCCCTCATTGATAATACATTAAAAGTTATTCTACATTTAATCTTTTCCGAACAACCTTAAAATTAATCGGTTATTCGTTTTTCCAAACTCTCAGCTGATCAGGCTGATTGTATGTGGATATGCTAACCCCCGACAATTTTCTTTACCTATGCCACACTTTCTACTTATACTTCTATCAATATTTTTCACTCATAATGATAAACTCCGTAACTTATCCATAAATTTACTTACGTCTTTTATAAATTTATATCATATAGTCCCGTATAATATTTAGTTACATCATTGTCACTTAGGGGTTGAGGCTCACAATATGGGCACAACAAATTTTAAATTAATTAGGTACTTAATTGTCTACATAATATAATGACTTTCAAAATCATATAAAGCGAAGAAAATATTTTCATAATACACGCAAGTAAGTACTATTTTCCGAGAAAATATTAAATTATAATAGTTAAAAGTTTATGATTTAAAAGTTCAATAAATGTAAAATCGAAAGGAATAAACTACATTTCATGTTATGATACAGAACCAAGAAATACTAACGGGAACATAAGTCATCATGATACAGTGATAACACCAGACAGATCAAAATACAAATTATATTCTTAACAGCAATTTGAGACACCTTTGTTTTAAATTCGATAGTAAGTACCTATATGAAACGTTTCCGATTGCATCGAACTATGATCAGATCACACGGTGTGATTTATACCTAATTTTAAGATAACTTGTAGAATATATTATATGTAATATGAATGCAACCTTAAAATGAGATTCTAAGAATTTTTTTTTTAAATTTACACAGAAACTTAGTTTTGTCGTTTATAGTTATAGTACATACATTTATTCATTGGTTCTAAAAATGTTAATTATATCACATACAATAATTAATTGAAACAATCGCTGTAACGGCCATCGAGTTTACATATAAAAAAAATATTAATTTATTTAAAACCTTGAAAGAAAAAAAAATAATTTTAATTTATCATAATATAACTTTAAGACAGTACCGTCGGCTTTTAGAACTAAAAATAAAACGAATTGTCTATAACACTTTTTAAATTTTGGATTCCAAAAAAAAATAAAAACGACGAAATGTGTCACAGTCTTAGATTATATAATTTTATAGAATCTAAGGTCTCAGTGTTATTTAACTATAAATTATGGAGAAATCAAGTACGTAAAAATGTAATCTATTATGGTATTTCATTATATCATTCATATTTTTTGACAGAACACAGTAATAAAATAATTTATAACTATACATAACTGAATAAAAGTGAATATAATATCGTCTTATGCCTCAATAGAAGTGCCACATAAGTGTATATGTAACATAATTTATAATAGTGCGTTATAGTTTTTATTTAGAAATAAAACTAACAAAATGCTATTGAATCGTTAAGTGTCTGATAAATATTTTCAACTTTATCATTAAATACAAAATATTTATAATAACTTAAAAAAAAATATTATAGCAAAACAACATGAAAATATCAATTTTTAAAGTCTTTAATGGAATATCAGTAGATTTAATCTCATCTTCCTTTAATTTACTATTAAAATTTATTATAACCACTTTTAGTTTGGTATCTAAAATTTTTCCCTTCAGGTTAACTCGATGCAATTTTTATTAAATATGCCCTAACTTCTTTTAATTACTCATATAACTGTTCTAGAGAAATATTCATAACTTACCACCAATACGTAGAATACAGTACACTTTATATAATTTTACGAAATATATAACATAGTCAGGTGAAATTGCAATTGTTCAGTTCCTGCCTTATTGCTTCCCATTGTATTTTGCACAATCATGGTCCCTTCTTTAGTCTGATAACCGCCCATGTTCTTGGTTGTTACTTTTCGTTAAGCGCGTACACCCAGTCACGCAGTTCAAGATAGAACACCATAACTCTTAATTTCTTCTTTTTCACATTTTTTTTTCACATTCTTCTGGGTGGTGCTCGCATGAATACAACTGCTTCTTTTCTTTTTAAATAGATCTGCCGAATCTTAAATTTTGATCTTTGGTCATGATATAAAAAATCCACTATTTGTTTTCCTCCTTTCTCGTTACTCGTCTTCATAGTACTATATATTATATATTTTAAATTTTAAGTGACTTTCAATAAAATAATTATTGTGGCCTCTTCTTGTATTCATATTTGTTTATTTTTCGTCACATCCGGTATTGCGTCCATTCCGTTATAATATATTTTTTTTTAAATTGTCAATCCTCTTAAAAACTGTCCATTATTTAATTAAGTTTTCTTATAATATTTTTTCTTCTTTTTAAATAGTAGGCCCGGCGGTGCGCGTGCATTGTAGCAGCGCACCGCCTGGCAGGGTCGCCATGTAATGTTTGGACAAGCAGTAATTTAAACTCAGTGATGCAGTTTAATAATTCTCTCTTTATTCGGTTGGAGGAGACTTATATATAGTGGTTGTGACGTAGGTACATAGGTAGGGGGCAGGGTTTGTGTTACGTGGTTCCAGGTAGAGCCACATGAATGGTATCTTCTTCTATAAATATAATATGATATTACTTAGCCAAATAGATGTTATTTCTACTCCTTATATGGAGTCCACGTTGAGTGATGATATCATTTAATATTCCTGTTATATTGTTTTATCATAGTACCGACACCACAATTGATTAGGACGCTAAAATTGCTATCATATATCAATGGCGACATCTATTGACAATGGTATGTACTGCTATTGACTTTACAATATAAGTTATACAGTTTCTGTTTTTTTTGTTTTTTTTTTGTTCTTTTTTGTTTTTTTTTTTACTGACTGCAACATAGAGGGCGTTTTAAAAAAAAATTAATACTATGCATTTAGAGAAATATTGTTTCAACCTAGGACTAAGTTGTCGATTTCATAAGGTTTAAAACTGACTCTTATTTTGTATGTGAACTTTGTAACTCTAAAATGACACCACATTATAGTGCTAATAGTGAAGTGATTTTCTAAAGGGGGAGCACCCCTTTCCAGATATAAACACTAAAGGCGAGTACCTTTTAATATTAGGAGTATCTAATTAGCGAGATGGCTACTACAACTAAGGGTCTTGCCAGTGAGGCCACTTCCACCCTCCTGCCGGCCTATGTTGAGGAAATAACCGACATGGACACCTTTGTCACTACTATCCAAAAACTCACTGAGTGCATTGTCAAAGCGGTCTCTGGCGGCAAGTCCGTCACTGCCGCAAATAAGAAACTCATCAACCTAGCAGCCGAGGAGATCAGAAAGTGTGGGCACAAACTAACCAGCATGTCAACAGTGTTCGCCCCTGATAACAACCCATCCCAGAGCAAAATGGACAGCGACTTAAAGGCTGACATTGTCGCCTGTGTTAAGAGCGAGATGGCCAAATTAAAGGGCCAAATCTCCACGCAGCTTCAACACCAGGCACGATCTGCCTCATACGCCCAGGCCGCTGCGACTAACAGAGGGCCAGGCACTCATCCTAATATGACTGCTGGGCCACCAGCCCGTGATCCACCTGTCAACAAGCCAGCCATCGTGGTGACTCCAAAGGTAACCCCCAAATCTCGGCAGGAAGCAATCGAGGCATTTAAGAGGAGCATCTCATATCGAACTGCAAATTATGCGCCGGCTAGGGTTCAGGCAGTGTCAAATCACAAACTCAGGGTTGAATTTGACACAACTGAACAACGTGACGACACCCTACAAAAACTCAAATTATCTGAGCACGTTAGCGTTGAGCCGGCTAAGGGATTGCGGCCAATGATTGTACTAAAGGGTATTTCCAAAGTTATACCAGCTGAAGAGATAGTTGGTATCGTCAGGAGGCAGAACCCAGAATCGAAAGAGGCTTTTACTGAGGAGGATGACATGCGTCTCCGTTTTAGGCGTAGTAACAAAAACCCGGAGCTATACAATGCAATGTTTCTTGTGGCGCCCAAACTCTTCCATAAACTCATGGAACAGGGCAAGATTAACATCGACTACCAGCGACTGCACGTTAGCGAATTCTCACCCTTTCTACAGTGCCACAGATGTCTGCAGTTTGGGCACATTAAAAAATACTGTACGGCTACTACAAGCCAATGCTCGCACTGCTCCAGGAAGGATCACACGGGGGACAAATGTCCTGATAAGGGAAAACAAGGCATAGTCAAATGTGCCAACTGTACATTTCACAATGATAAATTTGGAACCAAGGCGGATGTCCGCCACTCTGCCATGTCACCAGAATGTCCAAAACTGAGAGCTATGAGGGAAAGAATAAATAACAGAATCGACTATGGATTTAATCAATAAAAATATAAAAATTATACAGTGTAATATTGACCGTTCAAAAAAAAGTTTACACGAATTTATTATTTTTTTCATGGCAGGTGATTATCAAATTGCGTTGCTGGCGGAGCCATATGTTGGCTCAGGAAATGAGGTGCGACCAATTCAGGGCCTCAACATATACCAATTTAGTCAAAAAGGCAGAGTCAAGGCTTGTATACTCACCAAACCAGGTTGTGGCCAGGTACTAGGCATGTCACAATACTCCAACACAAATTTTTGCGTTATTCAATTCAAGAGCGGCGGCCAAAAAATGCTAATAGCTTCCGCATACATTGAGCCGGATTCTGACGGCAATAATACTTTAGAGCACATAGATAATTTTCTCCAAACCTCCCGATGCCCCAATACCATTATAGGTGGTGACTTCAATGGATGGCATCACATATGGGGCAGTAAGACCAACAACCCCAGAGGATGTGCGGTGGTGGAGCTGGCATATGCAAATGACCTCTTCATCTGCAATGTCGGCAGCACACCCACTTTTGAAACCGTCACACACGGCAGGGATCGGACTTCTATAATAGACCTCACATTAGCGCATGGATACATATATGACCGTATAGTATATAGATCACGATCTCTGCGGATGGGACCTGTTGTAGCAAAGAATCTGTAGCCATTTGGACGTGATCAATGAGTCGGTCTGTTTCGGCATTACCGCTATGGGACCTATAGAGGCACCCGTAGACGCGCGGATGGTCGTCGCTGTCTACGCGTAGCCATATGATGGACAGGTCCGAACCTTCAAGACTGCCGAGGCGTCGAGAACAGATGTCCTCTCTGACATACACACAAACTCCAGCCCGAGGCACAAAGGAATGCTCCAATTTGTACCCCGGGTAGGAAAGATACGAAATATCAGCCGGAGAGGAAACCTGCGTCTCGGTCAGAAAGAGCAAGGCCGGCTTCACCGTCTCGAGATGGTAGTGGACGGCGTTTAGGTTTGAGTGACCACCAGCCACCATGAAAATTGGTGACAACTACACCAACAGCGAAATGGAGACTGCCCAAGCACTCTTGGATCACTTCTACGATGATGATACACTGGATGATGACACGCACCAACACCAGTATCTTAGATCCAGAATCAGGAATGAGCCGGATGGAGTAGATGAACCCCCCTTCGCTGTTGAGGAGGTTTTAGAACATCTTAAGTGGATGAACCCCAAGAAGGCACCCGGCATTGATGGTCTTACATCTGACATTTGCCTACAGTTCACTATTAATTACCCAGAACTTATAACGGGAATCATGAACAGGTGTCTAGAGCTCCAACATTTCCCTCAACAGTGGAAAGGAGCGGTAGTCAAAATCATACCAAAGCCGAGCAAGACTGATTATAGCGAATTGGGCTCCTTCCGCCCAATAGGGCTTTTGTCGGTCTTTGGAAAGTTGCTCGAAAAATTGTACATCAAGCGGGTCACATATTGTGCAACTAAGGCGGGACTACTCAACAGGCGTCAGTTTGGCTTCAAGGAACAGACCAGCACGACTGCAGCCATAGACACAGCGCTCAGCATCGTAAAAGCAGCTAAGAAGAAAGGTAAACAGGTGCTGGGCGTTTCTTTGGACATCCGCTCCGCGTTTGACAACGCTTGGTGGCCCGCACTATTTGAGAGATTACGTGCAATACGATGCCCTAAGAACATCTTTCATTTAATAGAAAGCTATATGACGAACCGCACAGTTACATTAGAATACGCAGGAGCGCGGGTCACTAAGCGCAACACTAAGGGCTGCATCCAAGGGTCGGCATGCGGGCCCATTCTATGGAACGTGATTCTGGATGAGTTACTTGAGGCTGAACTTCCAAGTGGATGTCATTTGCAAGCCTTTGCGGATGATGTCTTACTTATCGTCTCCGCAAAGGATGTAAATACTTTACAAACAAACACCAACCGTGCTTTGAAAATCATCATGGAATGGGGGCAAAGTGTCAAATTGACCTTCGGACCCACTAAGACGCAAGCGATTGCGTTCACGCGCAAGGCGGAGGAAGCACACCTTATAATGGAGAGACACACCTTAGCATTTCAAAGGAGCATTAAGTTCTTAGGTGTGATCATCGACCGGAAGCTCCTATTCGCTGATCATGTTAAGTACGTTGTCGGAAAGGCGATGAGAATTTTCAACAAACTATGCATTTACACCCGACCAACCTGGGGAGCCCATCCTGATAACGTACAAACTATCTATCGACAGATTATTGAGCCTACAATTACATACGCGGCAGGCATCTGGGGTCAAGCTGCGAAAAAGCGATATGTAAGGAAGCTTTTGGAGTCGGCACAAAGGGGATTTGCGATAAAAGCAATCAAGGCCTTTAGAACTGTATCAACTGTGGCGGCAGTCGCTCTGGCTCAATTCGCGCCCTTGGACCTCAAAGTCCTTGAGGTACATGAAGTTGAGACAGTTCGATTACAGGGCGCCAGCACCTTATTACCAAGGGATATACAATATGAAAGGCCCACTCCCGTACATGAGCTATTACATCCTTCAAAGAGGATAAGCATTGATTGTGCAGACCTGAAATCAGAGGATCAAGAACAAGAGACATCCCTTATTCAAATTTACACAGATGGAAGCAAGCTTGAGGATGGCAGTGTAGGAGCGGCTTTCGTCTGCTTTGAAGGCTCAAAAGAAATACATAAAAAAAGACTGAAACTACACACAAGCTGCTCTGTATTTCAAGCGGAGCTCTTAGCGATTAAAGAGGCCTGTGAGTGGACTTTGGACCGGAGATTGAATCAAGGTGATGAAACACATCAAAAAGGCAAAAGGATGCACACATGCCGAAAGGAGATTATTCAGATCTTGAGTGACTCTCAGGCTGCATTGAGCGCACTCCAATTGAGATCCAACACCCACCCCATTGTGGCAAAGACCCATTAAACTAAAAATTAAAGGTAGGTATATTAGGAATTTGCACAGAAGCGATGGAAGCCACAGTTTGAGAGCGAATTGTAGGGTCCATTGCTGTTACAGAAGCGAAATGTTGGTTGATTTCATCAAGTGAAAGAGAAGGACCACAATCTAATGTAGCTGGCCTGCAAAGACCAGAAGATCTAAGAAATTTCCACACTTCGGCGGGAGAAGAGTTGTTAATACAATTATGGAAATATCGGCGTTTAGCTGCCCGTACCATTTGATTGCACCTATTCCTGGCTGCTTTAAAAGATGACCAATTTTCTTCATTACGTTCTCTCTTAAAACGAAGAAAAGCTCGATCACTCAAACCTAAACGCCGTCCACTACCATCTCGAGACGGTGAAGCCGGCCTTGCTCTTTCTGACCGAGACGCAGGTTTCCTCTCCGGCTGATATTTCGTATCTTTCCTACCCGGGGTACAAATTGGAGCATTCCTTTGTGCCTCGGGCTGGAGTTTGTGTGTATGTCAGAGAGGACATCTGTTCTCGACGCCTCGGCAGTCTTGAAGGTTCGGACCTGTCCATCATATGGCTACGCGTAGACAGCGACGACCATCCGCGCGTCTACGGGTGCCTCTATAGGTCCCATAGCGGTAATGCCGAAACAGACCGACTCATTGATCACGTCCAAATGGCTACAGATTCTTTGCTACAACAGGTCCCATCCGCAGAGATCGTGATCCTTGGCGATTTTAACGCCCACCACGCCGAATGGCTCAGTTCACGTTTAACCGATCATGCGGGGAGATCTGTTTATGACTTTGCTTTGACATATGATCTGACACAGCTGGTTACTTCGCCTACGCGGATTCCAGATGTGGAGGATCATACACCTTCCCTGTTGGACCTTCTGCTGACCTCTCATCCGGACGGATATCAGGTTTCCGTCGATGCCCCTCTCGGCTCTTCGGACCATTGTCTGGTCCGGAGTGTGGTGCCACTCACGCTCCCCTCGCGGTTGCGTTCTGCAGGTTGCCGCCGTGTTTGGCATTACAGGTCGGCGGATTGGGACGGGATGCGGTCTTTCTTTGCATCCTACCCATGGGGGCGGGTTTGCTTCTCGCCGGATGATCCCAGCGCTGTTGCTGACTCTGTCACTGATGTGGTGCTACAGGGAATGGAACTATTTATTCCATCATCTGTGGTACCCATCGGAGGCAGATCTCAGCCTTGGTTTGGTCGCTCCTGTAAGACTGCATTACGCAGTAAGCAGGAGTGTTATCAAGCCTGGGCTACGGCATCGGCGACTCGGGATGTAAACACCAGCACACTTAAAAAGATGTATAACTTCGCCTCCAGGTCCTTCAAAAGAGTTATTGCCAAGGCAAAGTCAGAGCACATAGGCAGAATTGGCGAGAAACTAGTTCGCCTTCCTTCGGGAACCCGTGCATTCTGGTCTCTCGCCAAGGCTGTCCAAGGGAATTTCTGTAAGCCATCACTACCATCTCTGCACAGGGAGGACGACTCACTGGCCCAAGACGCAAAAGACAAAGCCGACCTTTTAGGCTCCCTTTTTGCGTCCAACTCGACTCTTGACGGGGGGAAAACACCGCCGACCATCCCGCGGTGTGAGTGCTCCATGCCGGATGTGCTGTTCTCACAGCGCTCGGTTCGCAAAGCACTCCTCTCCCTGGACATCCAGAAGTCGAGTGGGCCTGACGGAATCCCCCCAATTGTGCTGAGGACGTGTGCTCCGGAGTTGGCACCGGTCCTAACGCGTCTTTTCCGGTACTCCTACTCCCAAGGCGTAGTCCCGAATTCATGGAAGACAACTTTTGTCCACCCGATCCCTAAAAAAGGCGACCGCTCAGACCCGTCCAACTATAGGCCTATCGCGATCACCTCCTTGTTCTCCAAAATAATGGAATCCATTATTAACTGCCAGCTCATGCGGTACCTTGAGGATCACCAGCTGATTAGTGACCGCCAGTACGGTTTTCGTCGGGGTCGATCAGCTGGTGATCTTCTGGTCTACCTGACCCATAGATGGGCAGAGTCAGTAGAGTCCAAGGGGGAGGCGTTGGCCGTTAGTTTGGACATTGCGAAGGCCTTCGAACGGGTTTGGCACAAAGCGCTTCTTTCGTAGCTCCCTTCCTATGGGCTTCCCGAGAAATTGTGCGATTGGATCACCAGCTTCCTTGCAGATCGGAGCATTAAGGTCGTTGTAGACGGTGCATGCTCCGACTACAAGCCTATTAACGCTGGTGTTCCACAAGGCTGCTATCAGCAACGCTGTTTCTTCTGCATATCAATGATATGTTGCTAACTGGTAACATTCATTGCTATGCGGATGACAGCACTGGTGATGCTCTATACACCGGCCGTGCAAATATCTCTCGGGAAAACGTCGCCGAGTACCGGAACAAACTTGTGTCTGAAGTCGAGTCTTTGCTGAACAAAGTCTCAGATTGGGGGCGACTAAATTTAGTCCAGTTTAATCCTCAGAAGACACAAATTTGCGCGTTTACCGCTAAAAAGAACCCCTTTGTCGTATCTCCTCAGTTTCAAGGCACTCCCCTTCTTGCCTCAGCCAGTATCGGAATCCTCGGAGTCTACATATCGAGTGACGTGCAGTTTCGTGGTCACTTGGAAGAGAAGGCCAAATAGGCCTCTAAAAAGCTTGGCGTGCTCAGCAGAGCAGGACAGTATTTCATGCCGGCACACCGCCTGTAACTTTACAAGGCGCAGG